TATTATCAAAAAAAATTTTATTTAAATATTTTAAATTTTAAAAAAAGTAAATCATAAGCAAATTTATAGCAATTTTCAAGGCAAATTTGTCTAGAATTGCCTACAGTTTAAGAGATAGCATATGATATAATAATTAAAAGTCAGTTATCAATATTTTAAATTGAGATTTTGTAACCAAGCATTGAATCAAATTTAGGATTAACTCTGGTTATCTTGAATCTAAAATTTGAAATAAGTAAAGTGGGAGCCGGATATTTTTAAAATTTAATAGAGTAAGGCTTTCAAGTCTTTTGCATCACTCCCTTAGCTCCAACCAATTAAGATTTTTGAGTTGGTTAAAATCAATGATAGGCATTATTTTAAAGTTCTAATTAAGTCTTTTTTTTTGATATTAATATTAGACGTCACTTTCAAATTTTCGTCATTTAAAAAATAACGTATATAGCTTTGAAATTGTAAATTAAAGTACCTCATATTTTAATTGATATCAGTATGATTTTATAGATAAAAAAAAAAATAAAAAAAAAAACTTGTAACATAAATCAAATTATTTTTATTAATTATTGTATTTAACTTCTATTACAATTGTTACTACATGTTGAAGATTAAACAATTATGCAATCTAAAAACTATCAGATAAAAAGTGGTCTAATAAAACTTAATGATTTTTGCATATACTATACTGTACCTCGGCGAATACAACCACAATGAAAAGTACAAAGAGCATTGTTCTTATGACAAGAACAACTCCTACTTTCACAATTTGTTTTGTTACAATAACAGCCATAATTTTTCTTTAAGTCTTGTTCAGTTTCTTGGTTAGACATTTCATTTGTGATATTTTTAAGTGGCCTTAATGGTCAAGTTAAGTTTTGTTGAGTACCAACATTTCAATAAATTTGCCAATCAGAATTACATCAAGTTCAGAAATTTATTAGTATCTAAGAATTCTAATTCATTTGCTAAAAAACCATATATTCAAAATTCCAAAGTTGCTTCCAACTTTAAATGAGTCGCAATTTGGTTTTTTTTTGGAGAATGTACTGCTCATCTATTTATTTTTAGCCTATCAATCTCAGGAATCTGAATCTTTACAAGATCACCAAGTTTCAAATTTAACACACATTTTTTAGTTTTATATCATTTTTCCATAAAATTATAAATCATTTGATGGTTTTGAGTAACATGTTGATTTGCTGCTTCTCTTAATTATGCATGTTGACTAAAACTTGCATGAGAATAATTTTCAAATGATGAATTTGATGGTATAGAAGATAAATTTTTAGCTATATTATTGTCTTCAATTGGTATAAAATCTTCATCATCTAAATTTGTATAAGCCTAAAAAATTATAAAAAATATTAAAAGTAATTTTACCAAGAGAATTTCTATTTGTACACAGTGTGTTTATACACTGTTATACAAAACAAATAGAAAAATGCAATTTGTAGATCAA